ACTTTTTTCAAGTGCCATTTTAACAACCAGTTTGCCGAACTGAAGATACTTTAGGTATCGATTCTGCTGAACCGGTGTGAATCCCACCACTCCCCTGAGGGCAGAGGGCCTCAATGACTCTCAGAATGAGTGCTAACAATCAGATGACTTTAAGGAATATAAATAATTGCGTCTGCCACTCTTCAGTCAGAACTAAAGAAGCTTCTTGGATGAGAAGCAAAATGTCTTGAACTTGTAGAGGAGAGTCTGGAAAATGTTAAGGCTGATGTGCTGATTGCCCAATTTCGTGATATGGAGTTTGCAATTCGGATCCGTGGGTTGGCTGAGGATCCAAAGGAGAATTTAAGACAAGTAATTTCAAACGCACTTATGGATGCCTTGTCTTGTGGACAGGAAATTTATTTGGAATTAGAGCGTGTTTTTAGGGTGAACTCTTGGATTGCTCGTCAAAAAAATTTGCCAAGAGATATACTGGTCTATTTTACAAGAAAATCGAGACGAAATGAAATAATGCAGCTCTTTTACCAACAAAGATTTAAGATCTTAAACCAAGACATTATTCTCTTAAAAGAAATCCCAGCGAAAATACTTAGAGCACATCGAGACTATGCTTTTCTGACACAGGAGCTTAAGAACAGGCAAATAATTTTCAGATGGGACATACCGGTGGGCATAGTTGTAACATTGGCTGGTAAACGCTACAGACTCAATTCGATCAAGAAAGCTAAGGATTTTATGGTGTCCGTCTTGCAAGCAGAATGCCCACCCACATCTCAAAGTATCGACGTAGCTGAGCAATTGATTGTGGACCTCCCTTCTGCTTCCGGTGTTCAGGATGTAGAAGGGAGTTTAAAAGCTGATGGGAAAGAACAAAGAATGACGCGCGCAGCCCATAGACGTAAGGAGAAGGAAAGACAGATGACAGCCCGCCCTATAGCTGATAGTCCTACAGCTGACTGTCCGCTATCTGCTATTTCTGAGCCAGTAGGTGGCGCTCGACCCAAGGTTTTCGTTAAGTCTTATGCATCAAGTATAGTCAGTGGATTGAAATCTGCCAATGTGTAAGCTTATATCTTGGAATGTGGGTGGACTTAATGTTCCACATAAAAGACGTAAGGTTTTTCATTATCTAAGATATTTTAATAATGACATTACATGTTTACAAGAGACTCATATTGTGGCTAAAGATCAAAAATTATTATTGAACTCTAAGCTTGGAGATTTGTTTGTTGCACCTGCTATAAAAAAAAGAGCTGGGGTTGCAATATATATTAAAAGACACCTTTCACCTATTTTAAAAGAAGCTGATAAAGAAGGAAGATTTTTATTTGTGGA